GAACAATCATCTTGACACAGCAATTGCCATCCTCCAGCAGACGGTATCAACAGAACACCTGCCTGTCGGCATTCGCCTTAGCATCAGGTCTGGTTTTGTTTCCATAGGTTTGGTTTGGTTTTTGCTTTGGTTTATTGATATCTCGATATGCAGCTCAGGCTGGCCTCAAATTCAGTCCTCCTGCCTCAGCCTCCTGAGGACTGGGGATACAGGAGAGCATCACCATGCCCAGATCAGTGTTGTTGTGAATAAGGAACCTGTAAAGCCTTGTAAAGACCAGGTGTGTTAGCTTCCTTCCTGTTGTTAATATAAAATACTCCAACGACAGCTTCGAGGAGAAATGGCTTATTGGCTCTCAGTTTCAAGGAAAAGAGGGTCCATCATGACAGAGAAGATCCAGCAGCAGAGGCACGGGGCTGGCACCAGCAAGCAGAAAGGGAGCAGGAAGTGGGGGCAGGGCAGGCTGTAACACCTCAACACCCACCCTGAGTGATGTATTTCCTCTATCAAGATTCTATCTCCTAAATCAGTAATTCTCAACCTTTCTAACGCTGTGACCCTCCAATACAGTTCCTCATGGTGTGGTGATCCTCCCTCCAAATACACAACTATAAAATTATTTCATTGCTAAATCATAATCATTGTAATTTTCCTACTGTTGTGAATTCTAATTTAAACATCTGTGTTTTCCAAGGGTCTTAGGCGACCCTGTGGCAAGAGTTCTTTGACCCCTGTCTTAGTTAGGGTTTCTATTGCTGTAACAAGACAGAGTGACCAAAAAGTAAGCTGTGGAAGAAAGGGTTTATTTGACTTACACTTCCATATTGCTGTTCATCACTGAAGGAAGTCAGAGAGGACAGAATCCTGGAGGCAGGAGGAGATGCAGAAGCCATGGAAGGGCGCTGCTAATTGGTTTGCTTCCCCTGGCTCACTCAACCTGCTTTTGCATAGAAACCAGGACCACGAGCCCAGGGATGGCGCCACCCACCGTGAAATGCCTTGCAGCTGGATATCATGGAGGCATTTCCTAAACTGAAGCGCCTTACTCTCTGGTGACTCTAGCTTGTGTCAAATTGACACAAAACCACCCAGTACAACTTGTCAACTCGACACAGGAACATGTCAATAGTAAGCCACAAAACCTTTGCTTTCTTAATTTCCAGGATCTCACACTAAAAGCATAAATTACTTTAGAAGCCCCACAGTCCTTACAAATTCAAATGCATTAAAATGTCAGTCCCTTTAAAACAACCAATCTCTTTTAAAATCCAAAGTCTTTTACAATTCAAGTCTCTCAACTGTGGGCTCCAGTAAAATACTTGCTTACTTCAAGAGGGAAAAAAATCAGGGCACAGTCATAATCAAATCAAAGCAAAACCAAATTCCAACCATCCATTGGCTAGGATCCACTCATGATCCTCTGGACTCCACCAAAGGGCTTGGGTCACTTCTCTAGCCCTGCCCTCTGCAGCACACACAGCCTGTCTTCTAGACTCCGGCTGGCTCCACTCCACTGCTGCTGTTCTTGGTGGTCATCCTATAATGCCAGCATCTCCAAAATGCTGGAGGCTTCTGCTGGACTATACTTACACCAATAGCCTCTCCTAGACTTTCATGATGCCAAGCCTCAGCTTCTCTGCATGACCCCTTCAGTCCTGGGCCTTCAACTGCCACTGAGGCTGCAGCTTCACCAATGGCCTCTCCTAACCTCTCACAGTGCCAAGCCTTAGCTGCTCTCCATGACCCCTTCATGCCTTCAAAACCAGTACCACCTGGATGACTCTTACACATTACCAAGTTCAGCTGCAAGCACAAGGCACAACCTTGGCTGCTCCTTGAACATAGCCTCTCTGTGCTCTCAGGAAACACTTCCCAGAAGATTTCACCTCAGCGACACTGGTCTCTTCTTAATCACCACTAATTTCTTAGCTCCAGCCCAACCAGCATCAAGCATCCCAATAAAGCAAGGCTTTGATTTACTAGTTCTGGCATCTTGTTCATCACAGCTGATTCTTCAGCCCCAGCTAACCACAACCACCGGATCTTAATTCAAAATAACAAATGGCCCTGATGGAGTCTTCAAACCTTCCTCTGAGACTTTACAACCCAGCCTCCACCCTCTGCCTGGCTCTCAGCATTCCTAGCTTCCAAGTTTCCACAGAAGTGTGACACAGTTACTCTTGAAGAGTTTTAGCATCAGCCTCACAGCTGAGCTCAGGTCAGCATGCCACTTCAGAGGCGGCCATCTGTCCCCATAAGCCTAACACAATCCCTGGGGGGGGGAGAGGTGGCCAGGCAGATGAACTAGTCAGCACGCGTGGAGAGCTCCTGCCTTCCAAAAGCTCAAACTCCTAACATCAGAGTCACTTCCGGTGCAATGAAGGGCTCGCCATGCAGAGCCTCAGACTCAGAGAGCTGGGAGCCCCCTCTCCTGTCATTACTACCTCTGGGGCCTGTGCCCACCAGCAGGAATGAAAAGTGAAATCTCACCCCCGCCAGCTGCAACACTGGGGAGAGCAGACCCTGCACCTCACCAATGGCAGCACAATAGAGCCGACCCTATTAGTGGAGCTGTGGGTGAGCCAGGTCCGAACTCGCGAGCATGGAACAGCTGTTTCTAATGAGGGGCTATTTGAGGGCCAGCTCCAATGCCCTCTCGGGGTCCAGATCGGAAGCTACAAGACACGAAAGGGACTTTTTTCTCCGGTTATCTGAGGGTGAACAAACTCACTCTATACTTCTTCGTGACAGTTTTTTATTGCTCTGCCATGCTCCAAAGTGTCTAGTTTACACACAGACACACACACTCAAATTCTCTGGTAAAGGCAATGTTACAAGGCCCTAATTTCTCAGGGTCATAAAACAGACAAGAGCTGTCCCATATGACACTGTCAGCTTCTTTATGGCCCAGGGAGGGCCATAGAGGAGGTTTTACATTCTAAGAAGGGAGAAGGAGAGCCTATGCATGATGCTCCATTCCCAGGTTAAAATCTGCACCAGTAAACTGAGGTGAGGGTAGGTGTAGGGAACTAACAGCTTTCTGGGTTAGAGCTGAGGGTCAGCTGAGGTTAGCACTTTCCCAAGTTGGCTGCAGTAGAATTTGGGATACCTAATCTCTGCGTCAGGAAGGACTAAGAATCAAGCAAGCTTGGACAGGCCATAGCCCTATCTTTGATGTCCTGAATGTGATCTGTTTGAAAGATTCCTCTCCTGACTAAACGTCCTGCCAAATAAAAGTTAATTGCAGGGAGCTGCCTTCTCGGCTTTATTTCAGGGAAAGGAGTGGAGATTTGACTGTGGGAACCAAGGTTTTTGACTGTGTGACTAAATCTCCTCACCAGGTATCCCACAGAATAGGGGGAAAGTCACCCAAAAGTCAGGCTTGTAAGTGTCCACAGTCCTTGGGGGGGGGGCAAATAGATCCAGCTATGAAGCATGTCCCAGTATATATTCTACATATCAAGACATATATACATGTATTTATGAACAGTCATCTTCCTGACCACCCACAGATATATGTGCCCATAAGACTAAAATGTAATCATGAGATTACATATACACATCACATGAGATTACACACCACAGTGTAGGTATTGGGGAGACACCAAGTTGCTTTAGCAGAAGTGAGCAACAGTTTCCAGAGGTGATGTTCCTTCAGGCCTTGCCTGGACAGGACTAACCTCCATAGATAACCACTCCTCTGGTGGGCTGACATCTGGATACCAGTTGTCACCTGCTGGAACTCTCATGGCCCCTGACACGTCCCCCATTACCCATCTGCAGGGATGTGGTAACATGAGCAGAGGAGAGTTGTCACCCCTGTCCATCAGTGCCTGAAGCAGGTGGGAGAGCTGACCCTGGGGTCACAAGTATGCAAGAGCCATCTCTGACCTCCACCAGGAGCAACACTTGGGAGATCAGGCCCTGCACCTCACCAGGCAGCACAATTGAGCCAGCACTGTTAACGCAGGTGTGGGAGAACCCGAAACTGTGGCCATGGGAGAGCTGACCCATTACCTATCTGTCTTGTGGTGACGGGGCAGGGGAGAAGTGCTCTCTCCCCACGCATCAATGCCAGAGGCAGGTAGGAGAGCTGGTCCTCTGATCCTAAGAGTGGGAGAGCCTTCCTTGACAACCACCAGCTGCACCTCTCCAGGGCAGGACAAAAGAGCCAACCTTGTTAGTGCAAGTATAGGGGAGCCAGCCCTGCAATTGTGCCCACGGGCAAGATGTCCACATTTGCCATCTAGCAAACCAACCCTACAACAGCTCAGGCCCAGACCCCGGGTTAAGACTTGGTCTGTCCCAATGTCCAACCATTTATGATCTGCTGGAGCAGGTGAAGGGACCTGATCCACAGACTCAAAGCTGAAGGATCTCCACAACACGGGGAGGCAGCAGGGTATCCAGGAGGAGTCCTAGTGGGGCCCAGCATGAAATGCGTAGTGAAGACCAGTGGCCTCAAACCAGACCGACGACTCTTCCCAATTAACACTTGCAAGCAGAGACGCATGGACAACATGGTACACAGCATGACTTGCTGGGTCCCACTGCAGCTTCCATTATGAGATTCTTAATTCCTTATCTTTTTTCATTCTCCTCATTTTATTTTCTTCCTTTTTTTATCTTGAATTTTGTTTAATTTGGGGTCACTCCAGAAATGTTAGTTGAACCAATAGCTTGCCAATCAACCTTACTTCTGTAAAAAAAAAAATGGGGTGGGGGATTCTTCACTAGCTTGTGTGTATGCATGTGTGTGTGGCATGCTTTTGCCTGTGTTGTGTATACATGCATGTGGTACACATGTGTATACATAGGTATGGAGTAGACCAAAGGTTGACATTAGATGTTTTCCTCAAAGAGTAGAATTCTTTATAAACAAAGTAGTTTTTAATAACAGAACCAGATGAGGAGGAAGGAGAAAATCCAAACGGCCACAGAGATGAGGCAACACCTCTCTAAGCACATGAGAGCAGAGCCCAGAGCTGTCTGATACTCACTGTTCTTCTTGTACATCAGGATTTCAAAGGAATTCATCTCGTAGTTCTCAAAGGTCTGGCGCACCTTTTCAATGGTGTCCTTATCGGTCAGCTCTCCATACATAAAACTGAAAGTCAACCAGAGAGCTCATTAGCAACTCAAGAAGAATTCGTCCACACCAAGCACTGAACACACATACACACACGAATACAAATACATATACACACATATATACATGCATGTAAACACACATGCACATACAAACACACACATATGAGGTGAGTGTCTGTAGCCCTTGGAGGCACATTCCATGCCCCACCCCCACCCAGAGAAGCCCCAGAGACATGGGAACAGCTCCCCCCACACTCCCAACCATCCCCACATGGCATCTGGGCCCCACCTACAACTGGAGGAGTCCCAGAGCTGCATCAAGTGACCAGCAGAATCATGGACCCACCTGCACCTGGAGGAAGAGTGACCACCTAAGCCACAGGCCCCATCAGTACCAAGTAGAGGAAGAAACATCACCCTTCACAATAGCTACAAACAACATAAAATATCTTGGGGTAACTCTAACCAAAGAAGTGAAAGACCTGTATGGCAAGAACATTAAGTCTTTGAAGAAATTAACTGAAGAAGATATCAGAAAATGGAAAATTTTCCCATGCTCTTGGATTGGTAGGACCAACATAGCAAAAATGGCAATTTTACCAAAAGCAATCTACAGATTCAATGCAATCCCCATCAAAATCCCAGAAAAATTATTCACAGACCTTGAAATAACAATACTCAACTTCATATGGAAAAATAAAAAAAAAAACAGGAAAGCCAAAACAATCCTGTATAATAAAGGAACTTTTGGAGGCATCACAGTTCCTGACTTTAAGTTCTACTATAGAACTATAGTAATGAAAACTATTGGCAAAAAAAAAAAAAAAAAAAAAAAAACAGGCAGGTGGAACAATGGAATTGAATAGAAGACCCTGATATTAATTCACACATCTGTGAACACCTGATTTTTAACAAAGAAGCTAAAATTGTACAATGGAAAAAAGAGAGCATCTTCAACAAATGGTGCTGGCATACTTGGATATCGACATGTAGAAGAATGCAAGTAGATTTGCATCTATCCCTACGCACAAAACTCAAGTCCAAATGGATCAAAGACCTCAACATAAATCCAGCCGCACTGAACCTCACAGAATAGAAAGTGGGAGGTTGCCTTGAATGCACTGGCACAGGAGACCACTTCCTGAAACTAACCCCGGTGACACTGAGAGCAGAAATTAATAAATGGGACCTCCTGAAACTGAGAAACTTCTGTAAGACAAAGGGACACAGTCTACAAAACAAACGGCAGCCTAGAGAATGGAAAAAAAAATCTTCATCAACCCTACGTCTGACAGAGGGTTGATCTTCAAAATATACAAAGAACTCAAGAAACCAGATATCAAAATACCAAATAATTAAACTAAAATATGGGGTACAGATATAAACTGAGAATTCTCAAATGGCGAAAGACACTTAAGGAATTGCACAACATCCTTAGCTATCAGGGAAATGCAAATCAAAACAACTCTGAGATTCCATCTCACACCTATCAGAAGGACTAAGATCAAAAACATCAATGACAACTTATGCTGGAGAGGATGTGGGGTAAGGGAACACTCATCCATTGCTGGTGGGAATGCAAACTTGTACAATCACTCTGGAAATCAGTATGGTGGTTTCTCAGAAAACTGGGAATCAATCCAGCAACTCCACTCTTAGGCACATACACAAAGGATGCACACTCATGCCACAAGGACATTTGCTCAACTCTGCTCATAGCAGCATTATTTGTAATAGCCAGAATCTGGAAACAACCTAGATGCCCCTCAACTAAAGAATGGATAAAGAAAATGTGGTACATTTATACAATGGAGTACTACTCAGCTATAAAAAATAATGACACCTTGAAATTTTCAGGCAAATGGATGGAACTAGAAAAAAAATTCTTGAATGAGGTAACCCAGACACAGAAAGACAAACATGCTATGTACTCACTCATAAGTGGATATTAGACATAAAGCAAAGGATAACCAGTCTACAGTCTGCAGCCCCAGAAAAACCAAGAAACAAGGATGAGCCTAAGAGATACATATATGAATGACCCTGGGAAGGGAAAACAGACAAGATCTCCTGAGTAAATTGGGAGCATGGGGGAAGGGGGAGAACAGAAAGGAAGGGGGGAGGAGAACATGAGGGATTCAGAAGGTTGATTTGGAGGAAGGACAGAGAGCAAAAGCAAGGGAAGAGATATCTTGATAGAGGAAGCCCTTATGAGGTTAGCGAGAAACCTGATGCTAGGGAAATTCCCAGGAATCTGCAAGGATGACCCCAGCTAAGAATCCAAGAAATAGTGGAGAGGGTGCCTTAACTGCCCTTCCCCTGTAATCAGATTGATAACCACCTTAACAGTTATCATAGAATCTTCATCCCGTAACTGATGGAAGCAGATGCAGAGTCCACAGCTAAGCACTGGACCAAGCTCCTGGATTTCAGTCGTAGAGAGGGAGGAGTGATAATATGAGCAAAGGGTCAAGACCATGATGGGGAAATACATAGAAACAGCTAACCCATGCAAGTGGGAGCTCACTGACTACGGAGAGAGTTGGGGAAGCTGCATATGACCAAATTAGGCCCTCTGAATGTGGGTGGCAGTTGTGTGGCTTGGGCAGTTTGTGGGATCACTAGTAGTGGAACCAGTATTTATCCCTTACTGCATGAACTGGCTTTTCGGAGCCCGTTTCCTATGGAGGAATGCCTTGCTCAGCCTACATATAGGGGGAAGGGCCTTGGTCCTGCCTCAAGTGATATGACAGACTTTGTTGACTCCCATGGGAGACCTCATCCTCTCTGAGTGGATAGGGTCAGAGTGGGGGGAAGGTGAGGGGAGCAGGAGGTGGGAATGGATAAAGAACTAGGATTGGTATGTAAAACAAAGATTATTTCTTTAAAAACATAATATATAATTAAAAATAGATTAATAGTCAAAAATCAAAAAACACATACACGAATACATGTGTACATATGAACACACATACATTCATGCACATGTCAACACACAAACACACATACATTCATACACACATCAATACACACATACATATATGTACACACATTCATACACTTGTCAACACACATACACACAAACATGGATACATATGCACATATGAATACATATGCACACACAGTGAAAACATTAATTGAATTTAAGAAGACTCATTGATCAAACTGTTTTTTTTTAAAGCCTCCATTTTTCCATTTCTGCCCCTAAAAGCTAAGCCTCTAATGGCTGGCATACGTGGAAAACCAGTAGATCTGGAAATAGAATGAGTGCCTCCGTATACCAGGGCAGGCCCTCTGCTTGTTCGGGGAAGACCTCTGGGTGTGATAATACAAACATAATAGGAGGTCATTCCAGACCCTGGGTGTGCATCAGTCCCACACGACTGGACTACAAACAGGGGAGGGAAATGTTGCCATAGGCAACACGGAGATGGCTGAAGAGACCACTCCATCCTCCACCACAAAGGTGATTGACATTTCAGCCTGTACCCAATGGGGGGGGGGGCGGATTTAAACAATTACTTCTTAGACACACAACTCCAGGAGACTTCTGGGAAGAATGACTGGATAAATTTGAACCATGGGTTTTTCTTCTAATTCCTAACAAAAATAAACTTGGGGGGGGGGGGCACAAGGAGTTACCAAACAAGAAAGGGGTAAAACCTGAAGCTCTATCTCGAAGATGGAGCTAAGGAAAGACAGAAGGTTCTGCACTGTCGTGAAGCTTTTTCTTGCCTCCTCACCCTCTGAAAAGGACAACAGCATTGGATAGAAACAGAGAGAATAAAATCCTACAAGCCTTTACTAGTGCATCTACCTGCTGCTCCAGCTGGGGGAAAAGCGGCCTCGGGAAGCAAAGTGCAGAGAGAAACCTCAGGATCAGAGGGCACTGCCCACGAGCCTGGCTCTTAGCAGAGGCAGGAAAGATGCCAGGACCATACTGTTCTCCTGAGCTCCACATTGTGCCTAGTCACCAAGTCTCATCCTTCCGGAGCAGAATACACCATCAACTAAGCAAGAGGGACAAAGGCGCAGGACACTAACAAATGCACGAGGAGGTGGACAGGAAGTCGTGCTCTCTGACAACACCCCCCAGAGTCCAGCATGCATCTCTCACAGACCCCAGGCCTTTCATCAACAAGGGAAGACTGTGGTGACCCGGCCTCCAGCCTGAGGCCATGCAGAAGTGGGGGTGTAGGCTCCAAACCACGCATTCCCCGTCTCCTGATACCACACATGTATTCTAGCTTTTTCTTAAAACCTTGACCCAAAGAACCATAGAATTTTAGCCCAAAGAACCTCAAAAAATGAAAATGTCTACAGTGCAGAAATAAGACAGGGGAGGCCTGCTCTACCAGGAAGGCGGTGGGAACAGACGGGAGGGGAGTGCTCAGATGTTACAGCTGAATGAACTGCTTAGAACTGTACAAAAGAAAAGTTGGCAGAATTAACAAGGCAATGCCTCTGTTGTCCTTTGAGCACAGCCAATAAGGAAAAGGGTAAACGCCACTCTGGCCACGCTAAAAAGTGAAGCTAACTTCCGAGATTTGTCAGTGGGGAATCTGCAGATGGAGACAGACAGGTAAGGGTAGATATTCAGTGGAAAACAGCACCCAGAGAATGCAGGACACGCAAGTGCATTAGAGACTATCCAAAACTATATTAGTAAAAAAAAAAAAAAAAGGTCAAACTATCCATGTATTAGGCTCAACAATCTAGAATTTAACAAACTTCAGATATTGTGCAAACATGTAATAGGTAGCCAGCACTGAGGTGGCTGATCTAATACATGAAAGCCCAGGGCAGGGCAGGCATCTCCACACTCCATGGTGAGTTCACGTCTTTTTTAGAGGATGGTGCCTTTCCATGAATATACCACAGATAAGGGCAGGGCACCCAGAGAGCCAAGATCCAGCCACGGTTGCTGGGATGCCTGGCAGGATCTGGGCTGCATGCTGGCTCAGCATCTTGAAAACAGCTTTTCCTATGTCCAGGCCCAAGGGTACTGAGGTATCCCTGTCAGATACACAGCTGTGCGTGTAACAGAACAACTGACGGAATGAACTATTCTCTAAAGAGTTCTCACTGGGGAAAAGATCTGTGAATGGGGCCTTACCTTGCAATACTCTCTATAAAATGTTCATGGAGTTTTAAAAATTTGGGCTGAGGATGTAGCTCAGTTGGGTGGAGTATTTGCTTGCCAACAAACCCAAGGCCCTGGGTTCAGTTCCCAGACCTGCATAAACAGGGCATACTGGCACAGGCCTGTGGGTAATCTCAGCAGTCAGGAGTCTGAGGCAGGTGCATCAGAAGCTCAAGGTCTTCTCTCGCTATCTAGCAAGTGAGGGCAGCCTGAGCTATATGGCTGTGTTGATTTAGTTAATTAATTAAAAATTATTTCATGGAATCATTAAAAGCTGCATCTTGTCTTTGTAACCAAAGACTCTGCCTAAATTGAAGAGTTTGAGGTTAATTCCATTGGCAGAAGAAATCCCAAAACAGCCTAGTGTAGACCCTTTCATGTAGACATTAGTGGTCACTCTGATGAAGATATATCATGAAAGGAGCAAGCTGGGCAAGGAAAACTGTTTGAGGAGAAAGGAGGCACCAGAGAGCAGAATGGAGCTAAATTCTGTGTTCAAGGAGATAAACAGATTAAGAAATGGGATAAAGGGAGTGGTGACCTCAGGGTGAGATCCCACCCAGCTAAGCTTCCAACTTGTGGAAAGGAATTAAAGAAAAGTTTGAAGCTGGATGTGGAGGTGCACGCCTTTAATCCAGCACGGGGAAGGCAGAGGCTGGCGATCTCTGAGTTTGATGACAGCCTGGTCTAAAGAGCAAATTCAAGGACAGTCATGTTTGGGCCATAAGGAAAACAGAAAGCTGATGAAGAAGTAATTAAACAGGGAGCCATGTTCCAGCCCTAACGAGCAGCAGAACTTGGCAGCCTGGGCCACGTGGTTCTGGTGTTGAAGCTAAGGATAGACGAAACAGGTTATAGAAGGTGCCTCCATGCCTAAGGACAGCCACTGTGGCCAGGCATGTGTCAGGGGCGTCCCTAAAGGAGGCCTAGTAGAGAGACCACTGTGCGAAGCTGTGAAGGTGGAGCCTGGATTGCCTGTAGAATCCAAGCTGTGAGAGATGCCAGAGTCGTGGGACACCTGCTGAGGAGAGCTGCTAACAGGAAGTGGAACCAGCCCAGGAGAAAGACGTGGGTTGCAGTCAACAAAGCTGAATGGAATTGGAGATGGGGACAGCATTTTGACATCAGGCATTGAGACGCAGAGTTTGGAGCTTGCCCAGCTGGTTTTCAGCCTTGCTTTGGTCCAGTACTTCCTCACCATGCTCCCTTCCCTGTGTTTTTGGAATCATAATGTATGTCCTGTGCTGGTATATGCTTGAAGTATGTGATCTTCTTCATTTTGATTTTGATTTTTACAGGGGGATTGCAGTTAAGAGATTGCCATGTATCTCAGAAAAGACTCTGGACTCTGGACTTTTAAGCACTGTTGAGACTGTGATAGACTATGGGGGGGGGGGCTTTTGAAGTTTGACTGAATGCAGTTTTTTCATTATGATATGGCTATAAGCTTTTGTGGGCCAGAGAGCAGAATGTGGTGGTTTGAAAGAAAATGGCCCCAAAGAGAGTGGTGCTGTTAGGAGGTGTGGCCTTGTTGAAGGAAGTGTGTCACTGTGGGGGCAGGCTTTGAGGTCTCTTCTCAAGCTTCCCTCAGTGTGACAGTCAGCTGACTTCCTGTTGCCTGCAAGACATAGCACTCTCAGCTCCATCACCATGACTACCTGCACGCTGCCATGGACTGAACCTCTGAAACTGTAAGCCACCCTTGATTAAATGTTTTCTCTATGAAAGTTACTGTGGTCGTGGTGTCTCTTCACAGTAATAAAAGTCCTAACTAAGATATCATCATATAGATTTTTCTGTTTTCCAGTCCCCCTCTTACTGATTTGTCAGTTGTAGGAAGTATGTTCTATATCTCCTTTGGGTTTTGCCCAGAACTTGCACAAACTACAGGAGTCATGGCAATAAAATTTCACCAGAAGCAAAGAGCAAGTTCAAGGTAATCTTCCTTTGTCCAGGAGACTCCCCAAAGAGCTGCATGCGGGGTACCTACCTGCAGGCGCTACTTTTTTGCATTACTTCTGCCCGGTGGTAGCCAGAGAGCTTGCAGAATCCATCATTGCTGTAGACGATGGGCCAGTCCACTATCTGGGCATTCCCCAACACAAAATTAGTATCTGTTTCAAAAGAGAAAGAAGGAGCTCATGAGGCAGGATGTTAGTAGACATGAATGATTTCAGCCGGCCTAACGCTTGCAGGTGCAGTCTCTCCTACAGAGCCATGTCCCCAGGAGGAAGGGGGAGAACCAAGCTTTGGAACCAGAAATTATGAGTGTAGATGCTAATGAAGGTCAGTGTATCCTAGGAAAGGAAGCGTGTTAGCCACCAACCCAGGAACCTATGGGGTCTCCTGAGACAGGGTCAGCACTAACTTTTCATCCCTCTGGAAGCACATCGTAATGCAAAGCCAATGAGCCAGAGGAGTCGCTTCTGGGCTCTGCAGCACCTTGACCTTCTCTTGTCCTGAGGGTACAAATTGGCTGACCCTGACTAGCCCTGGCCATTCTGCAAGGCCTCTCTATAGAAGCAAGGCATGTGAGTAGTGCAAAACCTCACAGGATACATGGGAGACATCTCAGAGGACAGTGACCAGACCCTTCTCCTGAGACGGTGTAGAGAGTCATCAAGGGGCTTACACCACACAACCTCCTCTGACTTGAAGTCGTGCAAGCACAGAGCTGCATGCCAGTGACCAGCCCCCCTCTCACTCGGCAGCCAGGGTTTCAGGAGGCAGACAGCAGGCTGATTTATGGTTCTAATGTTTTGAAAATCAAAAGTTGTCAGTACCTTTTGTGCTCAGAAAATCGTTTCCCTCTTTTGATCTCAATAATTTAAATTGACAGATAAAATATGAGTCTTCAATGTAGCCATTATTTTAGCCTGGCTCCTTTCTCTACACATATTCCCATTTTCCTTAGCCCTGAAAGAAATACAAACATACTCTATCCTGTTATAAATTGTATACACACAAACACACACATATCTTCTATGTGAAATATGCTCTCACTAACTCTAAGGCCAATTTGTTCTAGAATAGCATTTTTATGCTCCTGTGTGCATCAGTGAATTCCTATGAAACAGCCAATCCCTAATTTTCCATATCACTGAATGCACATCAATAATACAAAGCAAGTTCCTTAAGTGTGCATGTCCCTGTCTGGGTGAATGTGTGCACATGTGTGTATAAGTGTACATGTGCATACAGTGAATGTGTGCTCACGTGTGCATGAGTGTGTGTCTGCATGTAGTGGGTGTGTGCTCACATGCGCATGAGCGTGTGTATGCATGTAGTGAATGTGTGCTCACGTGTGCATGATCGTGTGTATGCATACAGAGGTTGGAGCTTGTTTCCCCTGACTGCTCTCATCTAATTTTAGAGAAAGGGTTTATTCCTGAACATGGAGTTCATGGCTCTGCTAGGCTGGCTGGTGAGTGAGCTCAGAGATCCACCTGTTTCTGCCCCTCCAGTGCTGGAGCTAGAGGTGTGCTCCACTGCGCCCAGCCACCCACACAGCTGATGTAGAGCAAATGCAGTCCTCCGGCTTGCGGCAGGCACTTTATCCACCGAGCCAGCCCTCAGCCCCTAGGACAGCACGGATAATTCACTCACAGTGTAGATCACTACTCTTCCTGTCTTCATGGAGTCGGACGGGCTGCTCTGCCCTCTGCAGATGAGTTTATTTCTTGATTTGGCAGGTTTATAAAGAATATTACATTTCATAAAAGAAAAAAAAATACACCAAAGACTGAGGTTGCTTTACTGCTCATGGAAAAGGCAAGAAGAGAGAGATGCCAGAGGCCATGCTGAACCAAGGCCTTTGAGGGGTCATCTTCCTTGAGAATAGCTATATTTATTTATTACTATCATTATTAGTCTCATTATTATTTTTGTTATTATTTTCATTATTGTTATTGTTGTTGTGTGTGTATAGACAAGCTATGGAGTACCCATAGAGGTCATAGGGCAACATTATAGGGTCTGTTCACTCCTTCTACCTTAACACAGATTTTGGAGGATCAAACTCAGGTTGCCAGGCTTCTGTGGTAAGAAGCCTTTACCCCCTGAGCCATACTGACAGCCCTAGTTTGATCTACTTAAAAGGAACATAAATACAGCTTTCAAGAAGGGAAGGTGAACGCCTACTATTTTCACAGATTCTCTTCTAATGAAAACTTACAACCAGCTCCCCGATCCGTCTCGCCCACACTTACATAAGGCCTTTGTAAATGCACTCTGCGTACCAAGCAGAAGGCAGGACTGCAGGGCAATCAGACTGTGCGACACGGCCCCTGAGCACAAGACAATTCCAAGACAGATGGACACAAACACCTAAAGAAGGAGGCAAAGAGGTGGCACACACCTGCCATCCTGGTAATCAGGAGACCAAGCAGAAAGGCTGCCACATAAGGACAGCCAGGACTGCACAGCAAGGCCCTGTCTCAAAACCAAAACAAGGCCAGAAGTGATGATGAGAACGTGTGATCTCGGCACTTGGGATCTCGGCACTTGGGATCTCAGCACTTAGGAGGATCTGGAGATCAACATTCTTGGCCACAAAGCACAATTCAAGACAAGCTTTGGCTATAAGGCCTGTCCGAATAATAAAAAGAGGGGCCTAGGGAGGTGGCTCAAAGAATTAATCACTTGTTGTTCAGCCACAAGAAGCAGAACTCAGACCCCGAAAACCCATAATAAACCGGGAGCTGTCGTGCGTGTTTGTCTGAATCCCAGCACACGGTGCGGGGAGATGTAGGCAGAGGCAGAGGACTCAGGGGGGACTCCCTAGACCAGAGGGCCTGACATACGCATCAGTCAGCAAATCTTCCACACTACACATAAACACTCACACATATACTAACAGTTTAAAAGCCCCAAATGCACTCTGAAAGCCCTGGGTGGTGGTTTGAATGAGAACTGCTCCCATCGGCTCATATATTTGAAAGTTTGGTCCCCAGTAAGGTGAAACCCTTTGGGGAGGATGAGGAGGAGCGAACTTGTTGTCCTGTACCAGAGGTCTTGAGGGGAGGGAAGAAACCCGTCATCCCAGCACAACATCCCAGCATGACATTGTTTCCTCTCCCCTTTTAACCCTAACTGTAAAGAATGACCTGCACATTACTGCCCAGAACAGTGTGTCTATATGCTAGGGGTACCCACATAACCCCGTGATCTGCCACACATCATAGGAATGAAGGGAGCCCTGTCAATGGCGTCACTGAGGACAGGCACCATTAGCTGGTGTTTGCTCTGATTCATGCTCTACTATGAGATGGGATTTGTAACCTTTATGAAGTGGTATTACTAATGAGCATCATGGATTTCATCACCTGATTCATGAAGAAACTGAGTCTCTTCAGATACCCAATAGGCAGTTAAATCCACATGAAGCTGGAACTCAAAATTGGGTCTGTGTGACTTCAAAGTCTATGCTTTTTGTCATTCTATCACATGGACTCCTTACTCCATTGAGTACTAAAATCAAACCAACGCTGTGATTTATCTACCTCTGAAATTCTAAATATAATGAGATTTTTAACCAATGAACCAGCAGTCCACTCCTGCCTCATCTGTTCTGATGGACAAGGTGCCCTCGGGACGTGGGCAAAAACATTCCTTCTTCAGAGCCTAGCTTCTCCATCTGCCTTCCCCATGTTCAGTATCTTCCCTTGCTGGAAAACTTCTCAGAACTTAGAAGACTGATCTATTTCTGGAATAGTCCTCCTGCCTCCTCACAATCACAGAAGGGACAGACGGGATGAGAGACAGATGAGAAGGAAGGGTGGTGCCTGGCTCCCTACCGGTTCTCAGGGGTGGGAGGGAATTCCACCTGGGGTGACACACTTCTGGGCCGGTCTCCATTCCCTTGGTGTTGGGGGGGACACAGAAGCTGCCATCTTCCCCCACAGCGGATGGATTTGTAAACGTGGCTGGTTATAGCAGTCCAAGGCCTGTGTCAGACTGCCCGAGACTAGGATCAACTAGACCGGAAGGGACGAGTAACTTTGGTAGGTGATCAGAAAGGCTAAGGAGACGAGCAGGAAGATGGAGAGAGGGAGGAAGGGACAGAAACATAGAGGGAACCATAAATTATACAAAGAGAAACAGAACAAGAAAGACATGTCAGAGGCGGGGCAGGGGAACCAAGTTCTGTTTAATCCAAGAGTCCATTGAGTATAAACTTGGTCCCAACAGTTCCTGGGCACCCAGAGACTGGGGCAGGAGGACACAGGCCTGCACTTAGGCCTCTGGCTCACCAGAGTCCTTGCAATTATCATTTGTGCTGCATGAATATGATCACAGAGAGAAAGGGGAAGGGTGAGGCCAGTGTGCCAACTCGACAGAAATCTAGACATATCAAGGAAGAGGGAACCTCAACTGAGAAAATGCCTCAATCAAATTGGCCTGATTGAGCAAGCCCGTGAGACACATTCTTGAGTAAATGATTGAAGCAGGAGGGCCCAGCTCACTGGGGGCAGTGCCCTCCATGGCCTCTGCTTCAGTTCCTGCCTTCAGGTCCCTGGTTTGAGTGCCTGCCCTCACTTCTCTTTGATTATGGACTGCAATCGTGGGGTGAAATAAACTCTTCTCTCCCTAAGTTACTTTTGGTCATAGTGTTTATCACAGCAATAGAATCCTAAATAGGACTAACAGGAACCCACATCACTCCTACACATGGAAGCCTAGACATCCGCCTCCCTGCCACAGAACAGACAGGCCCAGGAAGACAGAGTCTAAAAAATAAAAACAAAGTTAAACACTAGTGTGGGCAAGACTCCATGACAGCAGCCCTGCTCAGCTCAGGGTGTTCATCCTCTTCCTGGCTGGCCACGTTGACAAACAAGAGGTTGGTTATGAAGTCAACAGCTCAGGCACTCTCCACACTTCCAAACCTGAGAGACTCTAGGCTGTGCTGTTTCTTAGCTCAGCAAAAGGAAACAAACTGGAAGCCAAGCCAAGCCTCACGAGAAAGGCAGCGCTCTACTTGGACAGAGCGTTGAAAAGACATCGCCTCCCACACAATCAACGGGAAGATAACCAGGGTTCACAGGATACAAGAATTCATATTATTTAAGTGGTCACATCACCCAAAGTGACTTGCAGATCCAATGCAATCCCA